GGGTTTAACATGGATTTAGTGTGGATGGCTATCGAATTGTAGAATAGGTTGCTTCTTTGTCTGAATCCAGCCAAGATAAACCATGTTGAACAACCCATCGTCCACAAGCCACTGGCAAACCATAGGTTCTTTTCCTGCTTTGTTCATGTTTAGCAAGCCATGGTTTTTATGTGATTGAGTTTGGACAGCACAATAACCCAGGTTTCAGCAACCCATAGTTCAGAAACACCCTATATATAGCCCTAGAGTTTGGGGTTCTATTAGTGAACCCAGTCACTGAATGAGTTGGTTTTCTACCACAGCTACCCTAACATCAAGAAGCTGCTAAATTCAGGGTAACTCTGAGAACTTAATGTATTATTTGATAAAGATTCCAATCAACTTAGGAACTTTTATGTGCTACACAGACAAACACACAGATCAAAGAGAAAGACCATACCCACTTGGGAAGGAAGGGGAGCTGTGATTAAAGCCCAGATATTTCTCTTAAAGCATCAAAGATTGTTTTTTTGATAAAAATAAGTGTAAAGTCTTCTTAGACTTTCTGAATTGTGTCCTTAATTATTAAAATTCTTGTCCATGTACGCAAGTTTAACTAGCTTTTATTGCATGTTACTGTACAATACATGAATGAAATCCACATGGCTTGAAGGGAAAGTTCCATTGAAAGTGACAGGTGCCACAAAGTTTATTTAGGACAACCTCAAGCATGTCTGTTAGTCTTATAATGTTTGACTTAGGTATGTTCAGCTACAGTACTCTCTGCTTCAAAACCTTGTGTTACACCAGTATTACTCTGTGCTCCTTCAACTACAAATTGGATGAACAGACAGTGACACTTTTTCAATATTATTACATTAAACCAAGTGGATTTTGATTGATAACCTAATATTCAACTAATGCAAAACATCAATCATGGCAAGTATATTAATTATTTAATATTGCAGTCTAATTCAGAAATCGATGTGCTGCATGAGGGGAAGGGAAACGCGCTGTTCCCAGAAGACTTAAGACAGGGAATGATTAAAAAAAAAGACCTGCTATACTCTCGTGTGTTAGCTCGATACTAATCTTTATTCATTTGCCAATAATCTCTTCCCATTTTCCACTTCAGGACCATTTTATCAGTTTTGAGATCTATAATTGAATTAAGTCTGCTTTCAGCACAGAGCAAAAAGAGTTGCACAAATATTGATGAAGTCATGACAGGGACAGCATAGGAGACAGACCACTAAAGAGGACAGATTTGATACCATTAGCTGGAAGTTCCCTGTATCAGTGACCTGGATCTTGCTTCCTAGCAATTAAGTTCATTAGGACCTTTGGCACCAAGCAGTATAAATACAGGACTTGAATTCTCTTTTAATAATGCATAGTGTAGTATAGTAAATTTTGATTATTATTGTAAGTGTTTGATGAATCCAACCTTTTCTGTGATGGATTTTTAAAACAATTTATACTGGACAAGAATGAATATCTGCTCCAACATTTAAAGTGGGAGAAACCTGCATCAAAATCATTATTGTGAGGTATTTATATAGAAGCTTCTAGAATGTATTTAAAGGACTATGCAATTAATGTTTTCTGCTGTACAGTTGATGTTCAAATAGTAATTTATTTGGATTAATCTGGTACTGTAGTTTTCCTGTTGTAATTTGCCCAGGTAGCAAATGTTGCTTGTGCTCTTTGTCCAAACTAATGGAAATTTCCTGATCTAATGAAACCTTCACAAGGAATTCATGCTTGTTATATCCTTTCTTTAATCTTGCCTCCTGAATACATCCAAATTATATTCATTTGATGCTTGTGCAGGATACTTGGCTCTTAGAAGTAAAGTTCTTTTAAGGCGCTTGAGTACTTGCCAAGTCACCTAAAAATTCCTCTTGGTCATCCAGATACTCTTCACAGGTAGGGCCAGGTCCAACTTATTACAGTAAGTTGAAGTGAGAAGCAACTGAGGCATGTGTTTCTACGCCCAGATCTGCATTCACTAGTAGCAACTCAGTTGACACATCAAGCTAAGCTTGGCAGAATTACTCTTTATGAAAGCTACCACCTGCATATCAAGTAGGACAACTGGGTCAACAAGTGCCTTCAAACTGTGAATCTGTTTTTTCAGAGGTAGTGCTGTTCTGTCCTAAACAGACTTATTTCTAGATTGGCATTCTTAGTGACCACAAGCTCCTTCACCTTGTTTGAGTTAAGCTTAATCTTCCCATAAACCACATCAAGTCTTTCACCTATTTCAGACTGAATTCAGAATCTCCACTGCATTCCAGGAATAAGATACAAGATGGAATCTTGTAAGCGAATGGCTATGGCATCAGTCAGAAATCCTTTTTGTAACCTGCTATTTAGAAAGGATCAGAACTACCATGAAATGATGTATCTGGAGATCATCCTTGATAGGTGGCCCAGAATAGGGAGAGGGAGAGGAGGGGAGAGGGAGAGGGAGAGGTTCCTTTGAGTTCCTGGTGTTAGTTCAGTCATTGTGTCCATGGTAGATTGTCTCATCTTACCTGAAACTTACCTGGGGGCCTTACATCTTTGCTGTCTGTGTCTTGGTCGCTTGACCACAATATGTTCATAATGGTGCTTACTTTTCTTGTTGGTGAATATAGTTACTTTCTTTCATGTGCCTGGATTGCTGAGCTGAATTTCTTTTTGTTATAGTATTTAAATTGTTTATTAATTTTGCTTTTTGTGTTTTGTGCCAAAATGTTTAATGTTGATAGAACTTTTTTTACAGAATGCTCAATTAGAGGATGTAAAATTTTGCTATAGTAGACAGTTCCAACTGAGAACAGCACACAGACATCTGTGGCAGTGTTAGCTGAAGGGTCAGGAGAGACAAATACTTTAATGTTAAATTGATTCATCCTGTTTGTTTCTTTTGGCTCTCCAGATTAATCCTCTAAATTCAAACTAGCAAATGGGCAGAAGGGAGTCTGAGTCATATTGTCTTTTCTAAAGAGGTTGCTGTGTTAGCCCATTGCCGCAAAAAATAAGTCTTATGGCATCTTAAGGACTAACAGATTTAATATTCATAGACTAGAATCACTTTATGTGTCTAATGCAGCAGTCTCTAGTCCACAAAGTATTAGGTCATAATAGAGTCATTAGTTTTCTAAAGTGCCACATAACTGTTGTTCGTGTTGCCGTGTGTTTCTGCATAGTAGGCCTGTCTTTTCACAGCCCAAGTTTTAGCTCTAGAATATTGGCTGCTTATTTGCTCCCTCTACCTTTGCAAAGGCAAGCAACATAGCTGTCTCTTAGACTTTAGGGAAATAGCTCACCCATTGCACTTTGGAGCTAACTATGCTCCAAATGGGGAGACCATTGCCTGGTTTCATTCCAAAGAGCCAAAGCTTTTGGATATATACAATTTATACCCCTTTCTGTCTGTAAATTGTACAGGGCTTGCTACAGCCTCATTAGGCTTTCCCACTACTCTTTCCTGTGTTATGTATCTGAATACCTTAATTTGTCTCCTCCCTCCTGCATAGTTGAAAGATGTGAAACTGGTTTTCCATGAGGGCTCCCGTGGTTCAATTTATCACTGTTACTTAAATTGGTGTCTTAAGGAGTGGGATACCAACTTATACAGAGTTTTGTCTAAAGGGGGAATAGAGTCTTACCAAGTCTGTGTATGCCCAGAGAGAAAAATAAAATAATTCCCACCATTCTCCATCCCATTTTTTTGGGGCAGGATGAGAATTGTAGGGTTTTGTTTTGTCTAAACATGAATAGAATTGGACCTTAATGTTTTAGGAACAGTTGTGAGGGAGGGATAGTGCATCTCCCCCTCCTGAGAGTAACAGACTTCCCTGTAGTTTCTTAGTGATGGCAATGAAGAGGAAGACTTTGCAGCTTGGTTTCTATTACCTGGACTTTTTGATGACCTGTTGAATTAGAGAATTTGAGTGAATTTTTTAAATGAAAAGTGTGTGATATGCTGACTATTCTAACAAACCTGGAAAATGTTTTGCTTTACCTGTAACAGAAAGAAGATGGCTTAATTAATGGTAAGGTATGTTCAGCATATGGTCTGAGGTTATACACCACAGTGCTACTAAGCCCCATGACATTGAGAATAAGTTCAGTTCTTAAGCTTGTTGGGACCTTGCTCAAAACAAACCTCTATCATTGGCTTTGGATAACGCAATGAATCCTTTCCATTTTAGGGAAATAGATATGTTGATACTAACAAGTTGAATACATTTTATATCATTTTTATTTTAAAAGCAACAGCAGTTGCATGCAAATAAAAGAACGTGTTCTGGCATTTTCAAAATTTTGTCACAAAAATGAAGACATATGCAAATTTAATGGCTGGGAAGTAAATTGTGAGGAAATTTGTGCAGCTGCATTAACTGTTACTGTAGATTTGCTGATTTCCCCTCCATTTACTTCCGAGGTCTTTCAGCATTTCCCAAAGTCTCGAGCTACTTCAGAATGCAGCGATACCAACTGCCTTCCCTTTTGGAGCATGCACTGCTAGAGGTTTTCTGACTTTCTTTTAATACCTTGAGCAGGCAGCTGAATGGAACCAGGTAAATGGTGCCTCATGGATGGTGGATGGTAAATACTGCTGGTGCTCCAGTTGCCCTTTTTTATTTTGCTAGGGTGATTTCCTTTACTTGTTCAGAATATTTGTATGTTTTTTGGACTGGAATATGCATGCAAATTTAATGACTGGGATGTAAGTGAAAGAGAATTCTGCATAAATTTAATGTCAGTTGCTACTTGGTACCTTAAGATGAAATTTGAGTTATGTTTTGTTGATTAGGTTTTAATAATTAAAACATTTTGGAATTGAATTAAACCAAAATTCTGCAATTTATAGTAACTATTTGCTTTTAATGGTCTTGGTTTGGATGTGAAAAGAAAGCCAGAAATACAGTATGAATTTCTTTTCTTTCGTAACTTTCCAAATTAAACCTAAATTAATACAGACAAAGGTTTAGTAACTATTTAGAACTTATGTTCTTCTGTTACAGGGATGCTGGAAACGTCAAAGCTGGATTAGAACATCTGGTAAGTTCTAATTTTCTCTTGAATATTTGCATTATCTTTGATATCTGCATTCCAAATGAACACTTTTGAATGAGCTTTGAATACCTTGAATTGAGAAAGTCAACCATTTCCCAGAGGGTCAGCTTACTGTTTTTATATGAAGGCACTTACATTTTCATTTATCTTATGTTTCAAGGGATTTTAATATTTTTAAATTACTTTTTTGATGTAGAGATGAAATAAAATGCATATAATCCTTGGACTGATGACTGCCTTAATTATAAACAAAAAGTTGTTTGGTGTTGGGTTTTTAGTGTAACTTGATCTGAGAAAACAAACTTGAATTTTGAAATACACATTCAGATTTTGCATACACCAATATGGTATTTCAGTCATTTGAAATATCTGAAAGAAATACACAGCATTGTTAAAACAATATGTTTATTTTATGAAATATGTAGTCATTTAAAATCTATTTAGTTCTGTGATATACAGAATGGAAAAACATGAGTGAGCACACCAATTGTGAGTGAAAACAAATATGTTGAACATAAATACAGTGCTATTACAAATTTGATATCTATGAAGTTTTATATATAAACAGTAATTATGATAATACATAATAATGACTTGAAGTCAGAGAACTGCTGGTTGTGTTACAGTTGTGCAGCTGAGCTTTCCTAACTACTCCTTGTTTAAACATTCTTACCCTATTAAAATCACCCTTGAAAGGCAGGGGAACATCAGGAATATCATGGAATTTAGTGTGAAGACTGTAAGGTGTGTCTGTGAGACAATTTCACTCCTTCCCCTAACAGATTGGAATGTCTTCTACTTGAACAAGTGTCTGCTGCCCTTTGGATCTAGGCAGTATAATTTAAGTCACATATGCTGGAATCTTGTTAAAATTATTTCCTGAGGGATACTTAAGTTAGTCTTCTGTAGCACAAGTGTTCAGTGGCACTTTAAGGCAAACAAATTTAGTGTGTTGCATACTTCCCACACTTCATCAGAACACTGAAGTGTGCTGATATTGCTAAATTTATTAGGGCGCATTCCTATGTACGTTTGGACAGAAAAAGTCCAATAACTCCCACCATTTCCCAGCCCATTTTCTAGTGACACTTTTTCTTTCTCTAACAATGCATAGAATTACTCTTTTAGTTAATCCTCGAGGTGCCACGGGGCTTTTCTATGCTTTTGTTAAAATTAATAATCACAATTCTTGTCTGGATTAACTTTAAATTTTTCCTTGGACTATATAACCTGATAATACTGCAGTATTCTGCCATAAATATTTTTTTCTATGTATCTGTCAAATGCTAACTGCCTCTCTTAGATGTTTTCACCCATATGTAAACCCTTGAAATTTAGCTCAAATGTGCAATGAGCATCTATCAGATGAAATTGTGTGACTGCTTCATATTGCTACAAATATACCTTTGTGGGCCAGTGAGGTTTTTTCTTTGTAAAAACTTCCTACAACTTTTAATGTAACATGCATTGTACCATGAAAAGCCATCTGTTGACTTTGAGTGATTATAAATAACTCTCTGTATGTTTGTAAATGAAATTGTTGACTGTCTTAGATGAGTTTAACTAATTTTCTACTATATAATTATATGCTGACTTAATGCCCTTAACATTTTACGGTGAGGTTAATTGAAATCTAATGTGTTTAGTGTACTGTAAATGAGCTCCAGGCTTGATAGATAAATACAATGGTTACTTCCTCTAGACTGGAAACAATACAATAACATGAGACATGAAGTCAGCCTTACTCAATTTGGTGCCCTCCAGAAGTGCTGGATTGTAACTTCTATAATTAGGAGTTGCAGTCTGACACCTAGAGGGTGCCAGGTTGGACAATGCTCTGTTAAGTATTATTAATGAAATCATCTAAACATACTAGACATCAGCATAAGACCTGGATGATTTTCTTACAAACTTGGCTACTTACTCATAAGCAGTGGTAATTTATTCTATTGGGTTGTATGTGTTTTTAGAAAACTCTTTTTATGTAACATAGTTCAATAAATTTTAGTTTGGCTAGTGCTGATTCCTGAATTGTATTTTTTCTTAATTCTCAACCCCTTATGAAAATATTGAAAAATCAGATAACTTCTCATTATAAATGATTTCTGTCCCTCTGCCCCCCATTAAGAAGAAATAGCGACAGGAAATGGGGAGACTTTCAAGTGTCATTGTGGTATCATAAGATTATTTTAGGAATGCATGTGTTTATATCCTAATAAAAGGTTTGATGTTCAGAAAGTTGGTTCTCTGTCATGAGCACTTTGCAGAAGATGACAGTTAATATTTGTGAGAATGAACATTTTCAGGTTGTGGTTGCTCAGGTGTACAATGTTACTTCAACAGATCTTTGCTCTTTATAACAAAAATAAAATGTCTAAGTTGTAAGTAAATCTGAGTGGCAGTAGGATCAGCTGAAGTATTATGCTTTTGCTCATTTAGATCCATTAGGTTTACATAGCTTGTTCTTTGAATTGTGATACTTACTGAGCAGTAGAAGAGCTGAAATAGAAATGGTGTAGAAATCAGCTGTGGTGCCCTGGTTATGGAATCAGCTTCCTAAAGAGATTTGCCAGGCACCAATACTATACATCTTCCAATACCAGGCTAAAACCATTCTATTTTCACAATATTTTACTTTATTTTATATGACTCTGTGGTTATTTGTTTATTTAATCTGCTTTTGATTTAACTAATGTTTAAATCATTTCTATTAGACTATATTCCTGATTTTATACTCTGCTTTGTTCTCATTAATGTGATATTTTATTGGTTTTTTGTGATTGTTCTATTCTGGCAGGGTATGTTATGCTTCAAATTTTTAATATGTTGTAAATTATCCTGAAAGTCGGCGACTAAATGGGAATGGTGTAATTGCCCTAAATATAAATAAATAAATAAATATTCCATCTTATTTTTTCTTAATAATTATGGAGGGGTACCATGTTTGTTTGTTTGAAATGAAAAGACTGATTCTTTTCTAGCCTGACATTCTACAACAATGACCAGCTTGTTCTTGTGGTCAAAAAAGGAAGCCTGACCATTTTAAGTGTTGAGTTGCAGACTGTCATTAATAGCTTGTTAGCCCATCAGTGGTTTGTGTATAGTTAGTGCCTTTGAGCAATATAGACATTCCTCTTGTAACATGTTAATCAATAACCACCAACATGGGTTGCTAAAAGCTCTTCCTAAGCAGGGTTATTGCTAGTAATATTATTCATGATCTTCGTTGGTGCTTGACCACTAAGGTCTGTTCAGTCCGGGTACTCATGGAAAATAAACATCTGTATTTATATGCGACTGCCCATGGTTATGTAAATAAAAATGTAGCATCGATTAAGCTTGTAGAAAAGCCAGTGCTGAACAGTTTAGTATTCAGTTCTGGTTTTGTTTTTGTTTAATACAGTGCTTTTCTGAGTCTCATTTTATCCTTAAATGTTTTTATGTAGCTCAATATTTCTGCTCACTCTAAAGGTATGGTTGTATCACGAGTCTTAGAGAGTTTCCAGATTACTTATGAAGGTGGTCTTGGGGCCTTGGTACTTGCATTCAAGTCATGGGGCAGTATTCTTGGGCTTCCAACAGGATTTATCAACGTGTATTTAAAAGGTTTTATGTGCCATTATTCTGTGGAGCTTTTAAGGTGGTTTACAAGAACAAGATACATATAAAAGATGACAATCTATTAAAAAAACCACATTCAAATGCATTTAAAAATCCTGTCAGAGTACACCCTATGGCTATTTTGCATGGTGTATTTATTTATATTTTGTTTTTGTTTTTCTACTGTGAAATGAAATGACCTCCTTCGAGGGTCTCCCTGGATTGGGCATGCCAAGGTACTAAATTAGTTTTGGCCATTCTTGGAGGAGAGGTCTAAGAACTTGGTGCTGAGAAACTACTAGTCCTCCCTGTGGGCAGCTGCCTGCAGGATTCCACAAGGATCTACATTGATTTCTCATACTTAACATCTACAGGAAGTTATCAAGGCAAATTTTACAGAGCCTTTGTATATGCTGATGATACCAATCTGTCTTTTTTCATTAGGTTGGTGGCAGACTGAGATTGGTAATGGACTGGAGGGAGCTTGAGCCAGACAATATGAAATTATTGCTTGGTTATGAGCAAATCCAGAAGTAAGTGTGTAGGTTATTCTAGATGGAGTTGCATTTCCATTAAAGATAAGATTTGTAGCTTGGAGATACTTCTGGATCTGGCATTGTTTCTTATTAGCTGTATCAGGGCTGAGCAACATGTGCCCCAGCAGATAGTGTTGAATTGCAACTTCCTCCATTGGCTGTGCTGGCTTAGAAATGATGGGATCTAGCATCTAGAAAGGCATACTTTCCCCATCCTTGTCCTTGATTATGGCTTGTTTAATAGAATCTTTTATCAGTGAAGGCTGATAGATCAGCATTGTGCTGACCTCTGCATAAATCAAAACTGGCTACTATGCTGTGGTAACATCCATATTGGACTATTGCAATATGTTGTGTGTGGGCTGTCTTTAAAAATGACTTGGAAATTGCACCTTGTCTAAAATCTAGTAGCCATTTGTGTGGTTACAGTGATTCTTCTCTGTATGGATTGCCAGCTCTAGAGGGTGGTGCTTTGCAAATACTGCTTGGACCCATGGATTCTCCAGCATGCGGTTCCTCACAGATCAGTCTTATTATCATCTACATAAAACCACTGAGTGAGAACATCTTGACTTTTGCAGCATGTTGCCATCATTATTGATCAGACAGAGCTCTGTTTCTCATTTTCATTTTTACCAGATGAGTCTGTGAATGTGCTAAATCAGTGCCTGGCTGCAACAATGGACTGAATGAGGGTTAGTCAGCTGAAGTTCAATCCAGAGAAGACTAAGATGTTGTTAAGAACAAAAAAATGTTGTTCTTTTGACCAGAGGAAGGCTACTCAATCTGGCTGGAGTTGCACTCCCACTGAAAGAGCAGTTTTGCAACTTGGGGATCATTTATTATTAT